CCTATATGTAGGAACCACAAAATCAAAATTAAAAACTAGATTAGCACAACACAAATCGGATTTGAAACAATGTCAGCTTACAAATATCAAAAAAACAGCACTCATGGCCCACTGTGCAGCTAGCGGCCACTCACCGAATTTCAACGACGCTGCGATTCTACAACAAGAACAACACTACAATAAGCGCTTTACCTTAGAAATGTTACATATAATAAACACACCGGCAAACATAAGACTGAACTACAAAACGGACACTGAAAACTGCGCTCACTTGTACAGACACTTGCTTACAAACAAATCGACAGTACCAAACTCCACGTCAAACAGCATTGTGTACAAATACAAGTGAGATGTCTTAGCAATAGACGTCATCCTGGGCCACAGCTGCGATCATCTGTTTTTTAGAGTTGCTTATTTTGGTCTAAAGTGTGCTTTTTTGACCTGAGTTGCATTAAATAGTCTCTTAAAACTTGGTAGTATTTGTTGTTCAAATGGTAACATATATGCCCAAAAACTTGAAAAATATTAGATGATTGCTTTTTAAAAATGCTATTTATAAAATTTGGTTTTGATTGCGACATTAGAAATATTCAGATTATAAAAGTTTTTCACATATGTTTTAAGATTTTAAAGCTTTTAAAATGTACGGTAGAATGCAACAATGTGCTTGAATTTGTTTGCTTCTTCGTCAGATTATTCGTTTGCAGACTAGAAAAATGGCGAACAGCCATCAAAATACTGATTCAAAATACACACAAATGGGTGCGCGCAGCAAAATTCAGCCCTAATGGTAAGTTCATTTCATCGTGCGGCGACAAGTTAAGAATTTGCGATACATTTTCAGGCGAATGTATGCGAACGTTCACCGTTGGAAGAGGTATGGGACGACAGCTGGCATGGCATCCAGACGGCAATCTGGTGGCTTTAGCATTAAGTTGTAACCGCGTTAAGATATTTGACAAAGCTGAAGGCGAGCTAATACAGTGCATTCGTCGCCGGAGAATGATGTTGCATTTCACCCAAGTGGAAATTTCTTGGTGACTGGCGGCGATGATGATACAATAAGATTTCTTGATTTATTAGAAGGTCGGCCAATTTATACACGGTAGTAGTGCACTTTAGCGGAACCATATAAAATACATTTTTTCCTGTATTCAACAGTTGCCCGTTTGGGAATCTAATTTGCATACATTTGATGCCAATAGCGCGCAACAAACAAGCCAGTTCTCAAAGAGCCCAAATTGATTTTAGTCATGCAACAGCTCCACATAACTCCGCCATAGACACACCAGTTGCTGGAGTACCAAAAAGCTGTGATGACAGTATTTTAATTGACCCACGACAATCGGTGGCATATGGAATGCGTGATGGAAATTTTCTGGTGCTTGATAGCCAATATACTACAAGAGTGAAACGCTACAAGTGAAACGCTGTGATAGTATTTTTTCTCAAGGTGTCGAGTTACTGCTGTACTGCAACTGGGAAAATCCGCATTTCGCACGTGCTCCACTCGTATGGAATAGTAGCTTATGTCGAAAGGCTGGTTTTAGTATAATGCGGCATTCGCAGCATACCCTCACTGGCGCCGAGCCGTTGAAGAAATTTTGGATAAATAAACGTGCAAGAAATAGTTCCGATACTAGCACGTCCATATTCTTGTTAAGGGTCATCAAAAAATTCCTTGTGTTGTAAATAATAAAGGGAATGCCGGATTATACTAAAGCCAGCTTCCCGACATAAACTACTATTCCATACGAACACAGAAATATAAATGTATCTAAAACTGAATAACTCAAATCAAATTGGATGCATTTGCATAATATACCTAATATTGGAATCTGTTTTGATCGTAAAAAATACAACTTGCAATCATTTAGATTATAGTTTTGAAAGAAATTGATTGCAATCGTAAATTATGTAAAAATTGTCAATAACAATCTGCCTAAAATTTATTTTCCCCATGTAACGGCTATAAAATACGTTAAATCCGCACTATCTGCATTAAAAAAAATATACATTGGAATATTTAAAATAAACCGATTCATATTTATTTTCTAATAAGAATTGTTTCTTAATTGAAAGTATTTAATACTAATATAATGTAGTGGTTAATGTTTTAAAATGAATTCGCAATATGTCCGCAGCTCAGGTTGATTTAAAGAAATCCGTTTAAATTTTTCGAATTACATCTACTTGAATACAGGATAGGCAGGGTTGCATACAAATGGTAGTTCCGTAAATATCTAAAATATGTTAGTTCATTCAATATTTGCATCTGGGCCAATAAATAATAACAAATATAGCCGAAAAAAACAAAGTTTCAATTAAAACGAGTTTTTATAACCCCCCATAAAATTCCGATTAATTTTAAATACGAAAATAACGATATTTTTTCATGGAGATTTATTTTTTTAATATACCTTGTTTATGGAAACAAACAATAATTGTAATTTATTATAACAATAATACGAATTTAAAACGGGCTGTATAAAGAAAACCAGCCTATTGTCACTTCACTTTCCAATGGTGCTGATTGCTGCAAGAATTATTTAGCGATTTAGAGCATAATCAACACAATATATGCACATAAATATGTATTATTTCACAGATCTCAGGGTCAGCTTAGAAATACGTTACCAAAATTATATAAAATTTAAGTAGGAACTATTTTTATTTATAACGTAAAAGCGCTATCTGACCCAATCTGATAAGTATATTTCCCCTAAAGTTAACCCATTTTATTTAATTTGTCTCTCGTGAAAATATATATTTTATTTAAAATTTTCAGATATGTACATATATTTTAAATTTTTGCTTTAATTTTTGTCTCCTTTTAATATTTAATTAGATACCTTAAGATTAAACTAAGCTTAAAACGAAACAGCACAGCAAACCTTTTCTGTTCATCTTGAGAACACAAAACCCTCTTTTGTTAAAATTCGACGCTGCACAAAATCCTGGCTTTTATATTTTCCAACAAAATACCATTTCGCAACCCTGGATTTTCACGAAGCGTTTCATTCGGGTCGTAGTTTGGCTACTTCGGGCCATTCGGTGTTGTATGCCATATTGGCTGCCATACTGTTCACACTGTCATCGCCATATTGAACACCCTGTCAACTATCTGTCAACCCTAAGATATCTCACTTGTATTCTTCCACAATGTCAAACAGTGCGGACGTGTAAATTAATGTATGTATACGTTTTCTTTTTATTTACTGTTTTTGGAATTTGTGTTTACGTATATTTTATGTTTCACATGCTTGTCAATAGTTGCCCTGAGGACGGTTACCGAAGCGTAACCGAAATATATCGGAAATAAACACCAAAAAACTTGTGTTTTCATAAAAGAATTTTTTAAAATTGACCTCGAGCCGGCAAAACACTAAATTATAAGTAGAAAGGTCGCTAAAACCATCAGTATACAAAGACGGAAGGCACGCCGTAAGCATACAACAACAAAAATGGGATATGCGAAAATAAAGAACAATTATGACAACTCTAAAGCAGTAATCTGCATCCAAAAAGCTGGTAAAACTTAAGTCTAGCATCAAATTTCTTTTAAAATGCAGAAAATCAAAATTAATTCCTAACTTTATAAAGAATTCTACTAGATGTAAAAAATTATTTGTATTTGACTGTGACACACATCCTGAAATAGACAGAACTTTAGCCAGACATACACATTACTACCACATAAAAATATTAAGTCTACTGATCAAACATAAACATAACACATTAAGAAAACAAAAAAAGAAGGTGGAAGAAATAGCAACAAAATTAAAGAAACAGCTGAGCGCAGATGACTTAAAAGAACTCATGGAGAGTGAGAAAAACGTCGTAGATAAGCTTACAACAACACGGAAAAAGCGACAAGAATTTAAATATGAGAAATTTCGGAACAAACGAAATAATATCTTTGTCGACAACAACAAGCATGAAGATTGGTTTGTAAATAAAACGAAAGTAGAGTTCCCGCCAGACGTGAAATCATTGCTGTCGAAAGGTCCAAAGTTCGGGTTACCAATTGAGAACAAAAGATTCCCTCTTTTTCAGTACATCGCGGATGGAGAAGATCTGATACAAACTCTTAAGGACAAAGAGCAACAAGAAGAGGCGCGTACCAAATTATCATTCTTAATAAAAGACCACAAAACAACAAATAAGCAAAGTGCAATAGAGTGTGCAATTTTAAACACAGGGGAACGGACGCGGAAATTTCTGAGGAAAAATGACAACATTCGAATTTTAACATCTGACAAAGGAAACAAAACGGTAGCAATGGAAATAAATAGCTACAACAGTAAAATGGCAGATATATTATGTGACCTAACTACGTATAGAATACAAAGACAGGATCCCACATCGAGAATACAAAATAAAAATAATATTTTAGTCGACAAACTTTATAAAATGGAAATAATTTCAAAAGCCGAACGGAATAAGCTCACCTCAACCACCGCGTTACCTCCAAGAATTTATGGGCTCCCTAAGATACACAAAGAAGGAACACCTCTTAGACCCATTTGCTCATCCATTGGATCGCCATCATATGGTCTATGTAAATATATTGTAAATATTTTAAAAAACGTAACGGTAGACTCAGTATATAATATCAAGAATACGCTGGATTTCATTCACAGGACAAAAAACACTTACATTTGTGACGATGAAAAACTAATTTCCTTCGATGTGGTCTCACTTTTTCCGAGCATACCGATACAACTAGCACTTGACGTAATAGAAGAAAAATGGACAATAATAAAAGAACACACAAGGATACCAAAACAATTTTTTATGGAAATAGTAAAATTTTGTATTCAAGAAAATTGGTACTTTAAATTTAACGACACGATATATACCCAGTTAAAAGGAATGCCAATGGGATCCCCTGCCTCACCTGTCATTGCAGATATTATAATGGAA